TTTTATTTTTATTATTTCCCCCCAAAATTAGTAATGTCCTTTTACTAACATTTTCAACCTCTCTCCGGCCCAGGCCATTGTCACTGGACCCATTTCAGTTTGCCTAAAAAAACCTAACAGGTCAGCTGAGGACGCCATCGCCTCAGCTCTCCACACTGCCCTGAATCGCCTGGATAAAAGCAACACTTACGTCAGAATGCTATTCATTGAGTTCAGTTCTGCTTTTAATACTGTGATTCCATCTTAGCTGATCTCCAAACTCACTGACCTTGGCATCAGCTCCTCTCTCTGCTACTGTACCTTGGACTTTCTCATGAACAGACCACAGTCTGTTAGGATTAACACTCACAACTCCTCCATCCTCACCATGAATACTGGCGTACCACAGGGCTATGTTCTGAGCCCAATTCTCTACTCCCTCTTCACTCACGACTGCATACCTTTACATGGCTCTAACTCCATAATCAAGTTTGCAGACGACACCACAGTTGTAGGCCTGATCAGCGGCGACAATGAAACTCTCTACAGGGAGGAGATTCAGCACCTGGCAGTGGTGTGCCGACAATAATCTCGCACTCAACACCCAGAAGATCAAGAAACTGATTGTGGACCCCCGGCGGACTAGGAAAGACCACACACACACCCCTATGCAAGCGTGTGACTAGTTTCAAATTCCTGGGTGTCCATATTGCCTATTCTTAAAGCAGTCTTGCTACTTCACAATTAACTTTTTTACTGTAAATTTAATTCAGTCATTTAGTACTTACAGTTCTCCTCTAAGTGTATGAATATGCAAATTGTTAATTTTACAATTGTTAATCCCTCTTATTTAACAAAATAAGAGGGATCATAAAAAATGCATGTTATTTTGATTTAGTGCTGTCTTAAATAAGCTATTTCACATAACAGATGTTTACATACAGTCCACTAGATAAAATAACTGAATTTATAAAAATGACCCCATTCAAAAGTTTACATAATACTGTGTGTCATAACCTGGATGATCCATTACTCTTTTTATGTTTTGTACTTGTTGTTCATGAGTCCCTCAGTTAAACAGTTAAAATGCCCATTGCACTGATATGGTCACTGAACTTATTTTTATATATTTACAAATACCTCGTTCTGAATAATGCACCATCTGTGTTTTTCTGGAGGGCCGGAGCCCTGCAGCGCTTAGATTCAACCCTAATTAAACACACCTGATCCAACTAATAAAGTTCTTCAGGTTTATTTGAAAACTACATTTTATGTGTGTTGGAGCAGGGTTGGAACAAAACTCTGCAGGGCTCCGGCCCTCCAGGACTTGAGTTTGACACCCCTGATCTAATCTATTCTCATCTATTTGTGAAAGCTATGTAACACTGCCTCTGTTAAAAGCTTTGAGAGTTGTGTGTGTGTGTATAATTCGTTCAATTAATATATGTACAATTCATATATAACTGCATCGCCATGGAAACTACAGAGCCAAGACACAGATCTAGATCTAAAAGTGCCAGTATCTCTTAATATTGAGCTTGAAGTATTTACTTACTGCATGTGAAAGAGATGGGGGAATTGTTGCAAGCCAGGCTTGAAACTACACCTCGAACCATGAATTACTATGGCATCAGATGCATTTGTACTAGCTGACATCTGTTTTAGCTTTAATATTTCTTTTGCTTGGTGAATATATTTGTGTAGAAGGTTGGAAAGGCGTTACCCAAGCTGAGTTTAAACTTTCAGTCTGAGTTTGGTGGATTATTCTTTCAACACTATCTTAATATGCTTGCATTAGGCAGCATGCGTTTCCACATTCTGAAAATGATGCATGTGTGCTTTGTTCCCTTCATCTCTCCATTCGCAAACATGGTAGAAAACAGCCCATTTGTCAAGCCATTACATGTGATTAGGAGTCTTTAGGGTAAACACATCACATAAACAAATAGCTGCTCTTACTTACTTTCTACTGCTTTTGTGCTTTCCTTTCTCTCTCTCTCTCTCTTTCTCTCTCTCGCCACTTTAATTATTATGTGTGAAATGTTGCCTATTCTTAAAGCAGTCTTGCTACTTCACAATGAACTTTTTTACTGTAATTTTAATTCAGTCATTTAGTACTTAGAGTTCTCCTCTAAGTCTATGAATATGCAAATATGCAAAATGTTAATTTTAACAAAATAAGAGGGGTCATAAAAAATGCATGTTATTTTGATTTAGTGCTGTCTTGAATAAGCTATTTCACATAACAGATGTTTACATACACTCCACAAGATAAAATAACTGAATTTATAAAAATGAACCCATTCAAAAGTTTACACACCCATGACTCATAATGCTGTGTGACATAACCTGGATGATCCATGACTCTTTTTATGTTCTGTACTAGTTGTTCATGAGTCCCTCAGTTAAACAATTAAACTGCCTGCTGTTCTGCACAATTATTACAAAAGGTTAAAGCATTTACTGACGCAATGTGATGCATTGAGAGCCGGACTTTTTGAAATGGATGATCAGGGTAAATTGTACTTATTTTGTCTTCTGGGAAACATTTTATGTTGCTTCTGAAGAGCAGTATTAAATGAAAAAAAAAAGAAAAAGATATTTAAACAAAATAAGAAAAATGTGCACATGTTGGAAAGTGGTCAGATATGCAGAAGAATCTGAAAAACCAAAGAATATGCAGTTGCTGGAGGAGTTTTCTGAAGAACAGCAGGAAGTTGAACTATTCATGGCAAACGAGGGACTCTCAAACAAATATAACAAAACATGAAAACAGTCGTGGATCATCCGGATAACGACACGCAGTGCTGCATTAAGACTCAAGGGCGTTTAAACTTTTGAACGGGGTCATTTTTATAAATTCAGTTATTATTTTGTCTTGTAGAGTATATTTAAATATATTTTATATGAAATAGTTTATTCTGGAAAGTATCCGGCGTAAAATGTGCCAAATTGGCTTGTGATTCATGCCGCTGTGGTGACGCCTGACAAGAAAGGGAGCAAGCCAAAAGAGAGAGAGAGAGAGATTATTCAGGAAAGTACTAAATTAAAAGTAACAATACATTTTTACTATCCATATTATTTAGTGAGAGTTGTTAGCGTTTTGCATATTCTGCGAGGGGTATGTAAACTTATGAGCAGAACTGTAATTCTCTAAAATTAGGCACGCAAACATTTCATGTGGTGAGTTCATTGAATCCTCAAAATAATCTTAAACATCAAGGAACAGAAAAAATATATAATTTATTATTTACTAAAATATTCCCCTCTGTTGCAGCTCTCGAATCACATCTTTCATTCTGTATGAGAAAACCAGTGCATTACATTTGGTTACAACACATGCAAGAACCAGTAGCTTGTGGCATCAGGCCTTGGCACTCTATTTTTCTCAATCTATATGCAGATTTGAATGATATTTCAGAGCTTGGCTCACAGCAAGATTTTCACTGTAAAAATTATTTATTTTAGTGGGTTGACTTCCTTTATAAGCATGACACAATGAGTTCCTAGTTTATAAATTCCTCAAACCCAAGCCATCTCCTCAAAGACCTTCTAAACTATTTCTCCCACTTGAACGTGACTTGAGGCCAGGTCACTTGAGTGGTTTGACTAGAACTGACTGAGACGTTTTGGAAAGGCTCCTGAAAGACATCCTCCTCTGATGTTGTGGGGAAGCAGTCAGGATTGTTCCATCTGGTGATCAGCAGAGGTTAAGCAGATGGTAATGCTCCTCGGGGGAGAGACGGGGCTGGTTTCCTGAAACCCTGCGCTCTGCCATGGACATATATCCTGCGATACAAACACAGACGGGGCTCGTGCTTACTGCTAACCGTAAACTGGAAGTTGCATAATAGAACATTATAATATTACACTTTTGTTTTTGGCAGTGTCTGTGAAAGTATCTTTAGGGTGAAGTGTGGGTATGTGTGTTTAACTTTCACCCATCCCAGTTTAATGTGTAGACTCAACTATAAGTAAGCCATTCGTAGGTTAACTTTCGGAAGAGTGTAAACACTGGCTCTGCGGTACTTTCCTAACATTTGTTTGTGTGGTCCAATATATCAGGTTCCTCAAGTTGGTGTACCAATCGCCTTCTTGCAGGGTGGAGCGTGCATACATTAACAAGAGGCTCCAATTTATTATGTGAAGAAAACTCTTTGCGAAGATTTGGTTAATACTTTTATAAAGTTTCCTACTTCGAGTATTGTACATACTTCTCACTTCTCCTTCATACCAAAGTTTCTCACATAAAATAAGCTTCCATTCAAGCTCAAATAACAGGTATTTTGCATACACAATAATCGTAATAGCTAAAAGGACAAGTTATAATGCAAAGATTAAGATATCATGGTTTCAATAACACATCAAACAGAAAGCATATTATTTGGGAGTATATTGCTCCGATACTTTAAATGATTTTAAATGATCGTCTTATGAATTGTCTTTGTCTGTGACAGGAGAAACGCACGCTTTTCTGGAAAGTAGTAAAATGATGCGTCCCCTATTGCTGTCCTAATGCTTGTCGACCCTGGAGGTGGTTTGGTAAATCACTCTCTCCTGGTGTTTCTTGTACAGATAAGCAGAGCTGGACAGGAACTCATTTGAGACAATTGGCGCCTGGCTGACCGTGATTCAGCTTTACGGCTCTCAGATGGTTGAGAAGAGATGTTAGTTTCCAGGTGGAATGCGGAGATTCCCTCGTTCATTTGTGTGATGTTCGCAAATGCCTTACAAAGATTAGGGTGGGATTGCATGTTTGTCTGAACCAAAGAGGTGTATAACACTTAGAGAGAGCTATCCATTATATCTGTAATATCGCTGGCGATGTCGGACACCCCAGAGGTACAGAAAAAATACATTTAAGGAGCAAATTGTGCATACAGTAGTAAATGGATGCTTTGCAGTTGTTATGAAATAATATTTGGCGTTATCCTTCTTCACTAACAATTTGTTGCTGATTTGTTGTGTGTCTGGACAAATTGGTTAAACATATTCTAATCGCTCTCAACATTTTATTCTAGGTTTTCATGTTGGGAGGGATTCATCCACCTCGGCCCTGGCAGGACTAAACCTTCCAATGTCTTTCTGGTAAGAACAGATTTAACAGATTTATAGAAACCGAAATGAAAGTTTTCATTTAGCAAAAAAAAAAAAAAATTATAATAATAATAATTAAAGTTTATTTAATAATTAATAATTAATCAAATTTATCGAATAATCAACACTCACATAAAACTGATTTGTATATAAACATTTAATTTGCACATAAGGCAGTTTTAATATAAACTTTTAATTATATAATTATATTTCTACTCCAAGTCATTGTTGATATATTAACATTTAAACAATGGCTGTAATAAAACTTGTTTTTCAAACATACATTACACAATTAAGACATCACTAACAGGCTAATTAAAAATATAATCAATATGTAATATAGTTCCTGTATTTAGCTAAATATTCCTCTTTTTTTTCTAGCTGACTAAAGAACTATGGATATTGAATGACTTTCCTGAGGTAAATGCAACATTTTGTGACATATTTGTTAAAAGTTTTGGTTAAATTAATGTCTTTCCACAATTGAAACACTGACTGAGCGATTGCATGAAATATAATGCAATTCAGTAAGTTGTACTATTTTTTTCCGTATACCTTCTGATGTTCATTCATGTTCATTTCATGCTATAACTAGAAGAGGAAGATGATGATCGGTTCATGTACATCAAAACAACTTTTATTGTTTGAATTACTTAATAAAATTGAATGAATTTGAAAACTGAGAATTTGTCTCATATGAAAGTAAACAAAGCACAAAGCTTATTGCGATTATTAGATGTAGGCTCACTACATATTTTGTGAAGTTTTGGTCACACATTAACTGAAAACAGCACACACTAAAAGACCTTGGTTCATCAAAATGAAGATTAAAAATGAGAAATCAATATTGTCAATCCAACCCTAGCATTGACACAGCTGACATATTTACCTGTTGTAGTTTATCCATGTAAAATAGACACTGACACAGTCATATCGTGCCATCAGAGATACACTAATTAAACATCACCAGTCCAGTCAATGATTTACGCATCCTAAACTTTACATTTAAGACTTGTGATAACGGCAAATGACAACAGCTTGACTTGCAGACAATTTAACAACAGCTGGACTGAGGTATTTCTTCATCTCCCTGTTGAAAAAACCAGCATATGCTGGTTAGGTATGTTTTGACGCTGGGATGCTGGTTTAAGCTGGTCCTTTGCCAGCACATGACCAGCATAAACCAGCAAAGGACCAGCATAAACCAGCAAAGGACCAGCATAAACCAGCAAAGGACCAGCATAAACCAGCAAAGGACCAGCATAAACCAGCAAAGGACCAGCTTAAACCAGCATCCCAAGCGTCAAAACATACCTAACCAGCATATGCTGGTTTTTTACTTTATTGTTATGCTAAACCGAGAAAGCACCTGACCTCAGTGAATATGCAGTAGGCCTATAGAGGATATTTGCATGCATGATAGGTTTGTTCCTGCTGTGCAGCACAACACTTAGTCTTACATGAACCTAAAGTAAGTTACTTGCAGTTAAAGCTTTTTCAGAAGACTCCAATGATGTGGCTTGTTGAGGGGAGATGATATTTCTTTTTATGTCATCAGGTTTGTGATTATTTATTTATTTATTTGTTTGTTTGGTGGATAATAAAACCAGTTAAAAATCCATTGAGGCAGAAACACTGGCCATATATTGTAGAGAACATAATGTCATACAGACTTGGGTGTGGATTCTTTTGACTTTTGACTTACACTCTGCACACCTTAGCAACTGCATATTGCCGTAGCAACCACTCATCCAGAAAACATTGAAATGAAACTGTGATCGGGGCTAAGAGGAGGTCTCAGTGTATACTGATGTGGACTTATTCCACTCTTTTAAAACAATCCTGCAGAAAGGCAGTTTTCCTTTGGATACACACTTCTGTGACTGCATTGTTTATATGTAATATATTCCTACGACTGGGTTTAGTTTTCAAATAGGCAGACTCTCTTTTTTCACATAGGCAGCGTTTGTCTGCAGTGACATTAGAAAACATGTAATTTGATCAGCTCAGAGAGGATACACTAACAAAGTCAGGCGGTTTATTCTTTTATCAGACACATTCTTCTCATGAAAACACCATCTGCTGTCCTCGTTCACGTCGCTGTTGCCATGTCAGTGGGTCTATATTTAATAAAATAATTTAATCCTCGCTACCAAATTAACTAATAGCTCAAGACATCCCATGATCCTCAGCTGTTCAGATACACCTGTGTTTCTACTCAAGAGTTGAGTCAGGTGCTCTGTCTGAGATCCTTTTGTTTTTGTAGCAGATAATATGGTACTAACAATAATAGCATGGTAATGCCATTTTTTTCACATATACAATATCAAGGTATTCTTTGAAGAAATTTGAAGTACAATGAAATATGTTTATGGTGAGAAATTAACAGCCATCACCAGCCAAATGCAGTATTTATTTGCAGTGGTGGGTACACTGAGAAAAAAAATGGAGTAGGATTTTCTTTGAAACAGTTTTCACTCATTGCTCATTGCTTCATTTCATTGCTAGTAAATATCACACATAATTACAAAGAAATGGCAAATAACACATTAAATTGTACATGAAATTTTGAAGTAGACAAACTGAAATAGTATTTTCTTGTAACACATGTTACAATCATCTTTGATTTATTTACTTTGATAAATATTTTTACAGTGTAATTTTCCTTTGGTTGGCAACCTGTTTCAAGCTGACCTTTGACAAGAAATGCTGTGTTGTTCATTAACAACAGCATATCACTGGTTACATGTGTGTCTGGTTCACTTCAAACATGCATCATGAGTTAAAAACTGCCACAGGTCCATCATTTTGTGTAGTTTGTGAAGATCTTCCTTCACCAACCTCTGGTGTTGCTGTTTGAACATGGTATCATTTAGCACCATAGAGTAGGCTATATATCAAACTAATATGGTGTCACGGTAGGCCTAGGCGATAAAACGGTATCGATATTTATCGACGGTACACCTTCTTCGATAACGATATAAAAAATGTTCGATATAGTGCACAGCACGTGCTATGAGTGACGCAGACAGCACACAAAAACATGAACACGTTGAAATGAGTGCTGTGACTGCCTGTGATGAGGAGACTGTAAAATAAAAAAATGAATATTAGTCGAATTTAAAATAAACATTTGCATTTGAATGCAAAAATAGTACAATCAAATATTAGGTGTGCGTCAGGGAGCGTCATCAGTGGCGCATGAGATGCGGTGATGATGTAAGTGACGTTGTAGTTTAATGTTTTCTAGCCCACGAGACGCGCAGTTGCTGCGTTATGCATTCAAAATATTATAGAAATATAGAAGCTCAATACAGATAAGTTCTTGATTAGGTTAAAACCGAAACCAAGCCATTCACACAGAACGCATATTCAGCGCATTTTTTAGACGGACAAATATGACTGCTGCACTCGCGTCACACAAGAGATGTTAGCCATGCAAAGTTAAAACAGTTTAAACTTTTAGAAAACACGTCACCAATTTGTGGAGGTTTATTCCTTTTCACTGCGTCTCACATGTTTTTAAATGCAATCTGTGTGAGCTGCGCTTCGGCTCTTTGGATTAAGCAATGCATAAATAAATGATGCTGTTTTGTTCATAATTGTTTATGCAATTTACAAAATTATATTTGATTTATATTAGTTAATGTAGACATAATGCACGTTTTTTATAGACTTATTTCCTTGCGTTGACAATTTAAATGTGCTACATTGTTTTGCTCATTTGACTGTTAAAACAAAAAAATATTTGTTGTTTGTCTAAATAAATTGGGTTCATTTAAAAATACGGTGGTTAAATTAAAAAAAAAATTTCAATTGCTCTTTGTTTTAAAAAAGGTCATAAAAAATGTCAATAATTATCGATACCGAATGATATGAAACATTATATCGTTGATACATTTTTTTGCTATATCGCCCAGCCCTATGTTACGGTCTGATTTCATGACTGTCCATTGGTGCTACCAATGAGTGCTGTGCCTGCCTGTGATGAGGAGATTGTGAATAAAGAATGAATATTAGTCGAATTTAAAATAAACATTTGCATTTGAATGCAAAAATAGTACAATCAAATATTAGGTGTGCGTCAGGGAGCGTCATCAGTGGCGCATGAGATGCGGTGATGATGTAAGTGACGTTGTAGTTTAATGTTTTCTAGCCCACGAGACGCGCAGTTGCTGCGTTATGCATTCAAAATATTATAGAAATATAGAAGCTCAATACAGATAAGTTCTTGATTAGGTTAAAACCGAAACCAAGCCATTCACACAGAACGCATATTCAGCGCATTTTTTAGACGGACAAATATGACTGCTGCACTCGCGTCACACAAGAGATGTTAGCCATGCAAAGTTAAAACAGTTTAAACTTTTAGAAAACACGTCACCAATTTGTGGAGGTTTATTCCTTTTCACTGCGTCTCACATGTTTTTAAATGCAATCTGTGTGAGCTGCGCTTCGGCTCTTTGGATTAAGCAATGCATAAATAAATGATGCTGTTTTGTTCATAATTGTTTATGCAATTTACAAAATTATATTTGATTTATATTAGTTAATGTAGACATAATGCACGTTTTTTATAGACTTATTTCCTTGCGTTGACAATTTAAATGTGCTACATTGTTTTGCTCATTTGACTGTTAAAACAAAAAAATATTTGTTGTTTGTCTAAATAAATTGGGTTCATTTAAAAATACGGTGGTTAAATTAAAAAAAAAATTTCAATTGCTCTTTGTTTTAAAAAAGGTCATAAAAAATGTCAATAATTATCGATACCGAATGATATGAAACATTATATCGTTGATACATTTTTTTGCTATATCGCCCAGCCCTATGTTACGGTCTGATTTCATGACTGTCCATTGGTGCTACCAAATAATTTTTTATGATATGACAATTTACATCAAAATCTCTTTTTTATATTTTCTGTATTGTGCTCCATAATCCCCTGCTTGTGTTGCAGTGTGATGATTGGTCATTTTAGGACAATGAGGGCAGAGTGCAGCTCTTCATAGCATGAGCGTGTGTGTTTGTGTTCACACATGAGTTTTTCTGCATGGCTGCGCTCTCCTCAGATGGCCTTTCCCACATTACAGCTCTCACACACACACACGCACAGCCTCACAGGGAACAGATGGCGTCATTATTGACTAAATCTGAGGCAGCACACTGCACTCTGACCAGCGAGACATGTCTGTCCTGTGTGAAAACACAAGCAGAAGGGTCAGCAGTGAGTACAGCAGACTGTCGTACTTCACAGCACTGCACAGGGCATGATTATATGCTACACATTCTGTCCTCTATGACACTTAAACTAATAGTTAAGGGCAAAAAGATAATTTGCTCTCAAGTTGTTCCAATACTGTATGTTTTGTCTCAAAAGGAGAAAGTGTGCAATTACAAGCCAGGATCCATGGAAAAAC